TGGCCTGCAGCATGAACAGCTCTATAAAAGTGTTTAGAAAAGCAGCACGATCACCGAAAGGCGAAGGTGATATAATCAGAGAGCTAGTTTTGTAAGTTTCAAAAGACATAGTTATTAAGTCTATTATTATTATTATTATTATTATTATTATAGCATGATAAAGTAATTTAGAAAAGACCCTTTGGTGTTGTTCCCTGATAAACTACTGAAGCGACGCAACACTAGCAAGTCGTTAGCATGATGAATGCAAAGCAACTGTTAAATCGCTTTTTTGCTAATTGCTGAAAATTGGCCCTTCAAGAGTGTTTCATTTGTCAGATGGTGACATAATGCTGTTTGATTTCTATTTTGAGATGTTTAAACTTAAGAATTGTTTATTTCTACTCCTTTTCATTTCTGCTCACGTGCAATGCCTTGTTTTTTATGCTGCTGCAACGCAAAACATGTCCCAATCCGGGATCAATAAAGTACATCTGATCTTATTTCGTCAAAATCTAGTAGAGTGGTGAGATTACAGATTACATGTCTCTGCCATTAATATGTAAATCAAGCAAGAAAGTGGGTTTAGTACTGTTAACTAGGGATGCACGATATTGGTTTTTTGAAACCGATACCGATAACTTCCTGCTTCTCAAGACCGATACCGATAAAACATTTTTTACGCCACTAATTATTTTTTACGCCACTAATTATTTTAACGCGATTAACGCATGTGTATTTTTTGTCCTCGGCCGCCCCGTAGTTTCAGAGCGCATCGAGTTTAAAATACCATCTACAAGCTGATGCTGACAGCCCCGCTCCTGCCGCCCGTTTGTGGCAGACCATACTTCCACGCTCACCGGCAGGCACCGACTGGCTGTTGGGAGGACCGGGAGGGTGTGTGTGTGGCCCGAGCGAGAGAGAGACCTTACGTGCATTGTTGTTGTTAGCATCTGGTGCTAGCTAGCTGCGCTAACGGATATAAGGAGCTGTTTAAATGAAAACAGAGGAGCGACATTTCGCCACAACTGCGCCGAGCACTTGACTTTATGCAGGAAGCCAGACAGTGGGACATTGTACGAAAAGTCAGCACACTCAGCACGGATAGTGCGCAACATGATTGCAGCGTCCAGGCAGCTCTGGTTCGAGCATATGTCTTGAGTTGCACATAGCTCCAACGCCCATACCACCGACGACATGTTTGTTTACTGTCCTGGCTTCACGGCCGCACACCATTTACGTCACAGCCAGGCACGAGTTAGGGAGCGCTGGATTTGTGAAGAACTCCCCTCTTCCTAAACCACTAATACCACAGTACTGGCAAAACGGGAGGAGCCGAGTGAAAAACAAGCGCCCCTCATCCCAATCCACCCACACCGCAGAATTTGTTTTCTTTTTTTTTACCCAAAAAATATATTGTATATTATCGGGGCTATTATAATAATGCTTATATTTATTATAGCGCTTTATCAATGACTCTCAAAGCGCTTTACAAATACACATTACACATACAGATCATACATACATGTAATGGTCATCTACTGTGGACAATACCCACAGAAGCAAATTCGGGTGAAGTGTCTTGCCCAAGGACACAACGGCCTGACGCAGTGGGGCGGGAGCGGGTTTTGAACTGGAGTTCCCCAACGCCCCCTTGATCTGATGATCAAACGCACAGACCACTGCGCCACCCGTCCCAATTAATTATTAATACTGGTATCGGGTTTATCGGGATGACGTCATAATTCCTAATATCGGATCGGATGTGCATCCCAACTGTTAACATTAATCTGTATCTGTAAAGGAATTTCTGATTTATTTTGAATAATTTTGAGGTTTTTTTGGTGTTTTTTTCAACATTTATTTTAGATTTTTCGTCATACTTTGTTGAAACGCTTGCTACATTTTGCGGATCTGTCATCAGATAGCTTGTTTTGTCAGTTATTAAATGTATTGTAATTGCATGACAAAAGGAAAAATGCAAATTGTCACTTTGGAGAATCTGGAACTAAAAGAGAAATTAGTTTTATATTCTATTATAATATTTCATTACTACTTCAGTGGCAAAGTAAAGACTGTGTGTGTGTGTACAGGGAAGGCTCTGAAGCTTCATGTACACACACACACACTCGCACACACACACTCGCACACACACACACACAGCTTTAAGTTTCTCAACAGGAAGGAAACGTGACTGCAGGAAACAGTTTAACAATCACGCCTTCTGACCCCATTTCTGTTAGTGTGTGTGTGTGTGTGTGTGTGTGTGTGTGTGTGTGTGTGTGTGTGTGTGTGTGTGTGTGTGTGTGTGTGTCATCTATACAGTGGTGCAGGGATGTCGTATTTTTATAGGCCGACCCTGAAGGCAGCATCTCCCTGTTACTTACCCTCTGTACGTCTTCTCAACGTCACATTAACATAAATGCCAGACAGACAGAGAGAGACAGAGGTCAGCGCCAAACTCACGCTGGGCGAGCATGTGGTTACCATGGAAACAAAGTCATGTGATCATGGAGAAGCCAAGAAGACAGAAGCTGCTGACCTTTGATTTTATTTTATTTTTTCTAGAAATGAATGACTTTTTTATAGCGGAACAATAAAATTGCAAAATTACGAGAAAATAATATTGTTTGATTAGTCAAGGAATGTTTCTTTCTTTCGTGCAAATATAACTTTCAAACCCCAGAATATTAACGTTATTTTCTAGGGATGTAACGATATATCGAAGATCGCGATATCGCGGTAAATAAATGTCTCAATACCGTCGTGAGACTGACAAAATCTACCGCGATTTTTTAAAATTTTCTTTTTAAATAATTTAATTTGTTTTAAACCTCATCAATCTGTTTTTCAAGGGAGACCTGTCCAACATGGCAGCAGTTATAAATACCTAGGTATCTGGCTTGATGATTGTCTCACTTTTAAACTTCATGTCAATAACCTGCTTAAAAAGCTGAGGGTTAGGCTAGGTGTCTTTTTACAGAAACAAGTCCTGTTTCTCGCTTGAGGACAGGAAAAGGCTCTGTGACCTTTTGACCTGTGCTGGACTCTGGTGATTTGATGTATATGAATGCACCTGCTGCCCATCGCCTGATCAAGTTAGATGCTGCGTATCACAGTGCACTGAGATTTGTTACTAACTATAAAGCACTTACTCATCACTGTACCCTGTATGCAAGGCAGGTCTGCCTTCACTAACTGTACGGAGGCTCAGTCACTGGTACACGTTCATCTACAAAGCCATGTTGGGTAAACTACCTTTTTATATCTGCTCTCTGATCTCTCGACGAATTGAAAGTACGTATTGCCTGAGATCTCATGATGTTGTTTTATTAAATGTGCTAAGTGCTAGGACTGTCTTAGGGACGAAAGCTTTTAGTTGTGCAGCTCCACTAAATTGGAACAGTCTGCAAACATGTTTCAAACTGAGCACTTTGGTTCCCCTGCATCACTTTGAAACTCAGCTGGGTGACATGCTGTTTGATACTCATGGTACCTGTCTCTGTGAATAGAGTTTGTAAACTGTACCATGTACATGATGTTGTTTGTCATCCTTATTGTTGTTCTGTTGTTTTTATGTTACATGTGTAACTAATGTCCTGCAGGTCACCCTTGAAAAAGAGATCTTTTGATCTCAAGGGGCTTCACCTGGTTAAATAAAGGCTACAAACACACAAACAAGTAGGTTACAACATGAACATAAAACAACAGATAACAATGAAGGACATGGTATTTACAGGGCTACATGTACATACCTAGAGACATGGACAAGTACCAACAGTATATCTATATCTCTGTCAATAAGCCTCACCTTCTTGGCAACAACTGTATTGTTGTTGAAGTGGCGGAGAGACGATGCACAGTTTGACCCACTGCTGTCACCCATGGTCAAAGCACACCTCTCTGTCCCAGCAACATCAGCACCAAGCGAGAGAGTTGTTTCCACAGCAGGGGATTTTGCAAACGCCCAAACATCCCAGCTTCTACCTGGAAATGTGGACATGCTCATATTCCTGAAAGATAACCTTGATGCTGCTGAGTGAGTGAGTGAGTGAGTGAGTGAGTGAGTGAGTGAGTGAGTGAGTGAGTGAGTGAGTGAGTGAGTGAGTGAGTGAGGGAGTGAGTGAGTGAGTGAGTGAGTGAGTGAGTGAGTGAGTGAGTGAGTGAGTGAGCGAGTGAGCGAGTGAGTGAGCGAGGAGCGAGTGAGTGAGTGAGCGAGCGAGCGAGTGAGTGAGTGAGTGAGTGAGCGAGAGTGAGTGAGTGAGCGAGCGAGCGAGTGAGCGAGTGAGTGAGTGAGTGAGCGAGTGAGCGAGTGAGTGAGCGAGTGAGCGAGTGAGTGAGCGAGTGAGTGAGTGAGGAGTGAGTGAGCGAGTGCGTGAGCGAGTGAGCGAGTGAGTGAGTGAGTGAGTGAGTGAGTGAGCGAGTGAGTGAGTGAGTTAGAGTTGAGTTACTTGAACAACTAAAGTGAAACTTGATTTATTCTATTGCAGGGTCTGATTATTATATTGTTGATACTTTAAAATACTACTATCCTACTAATATGCTGTACAAATCAGATGTATTATTTAATAAAGAAATTAAATAATATCGCGATAAATATCGTACCGTGGACTTTTTATCACGATATTATCGTACCGTGAGTTTTTGGAATCGTTACATCCCTATTATTTTCTCCTAAATGTACCAATTAAATATGAGTTAATGACCCACTTTAATTTAGGTAAATGAAAAACCATTGTGTGTTTAGATTTTCCGAATTTGTTCAAAAGATTTTCTCTGAAATGAAAGTGGAAAAATTATGAAATAAACAATACAAAAAAAACACACAATTATGAGAAATCTATATGACTTTATAATCTCAGAAAATCAAGTTTATTGTACGTGTTTCTTTCCCTGTGAACGTACCAATTAAACTTCACAGAAAATCCATGTTTTTCTTTAAAACGGACCCCTTTTAATATCCAAAAATGCAGTTCTTCTTGTAGACAGTCCTCCTGACCTTTGACCTCTCCTGTGTGCAGGTGTTCACCACGTACTCTAACGAGGACTACGACCGGCGTAACGATGACGTCGACCCGATGGCGGCGTCGGCGGAGTACGAGCTGGAGAAACGAGTCGAGAAGCTGGACCTGTTTCCTGTGGAGCTGGAGAAAGGTACACACACACACACACACACACACACACACACACACACACACACACACACACACCACACACACACCTCCCAAGGTTTCGTGGACTTCTCCTTACAACCCATTATCCCGTTATGGGATTACAGTTAGCGCGGATTAGCCTAATTAGCTGCTAGTAATTCTGAACGTAATGGAATTGTTGAACCAGGAACCGTCGATGATTGCTTCCCTCAGCAGGACAGGCAACACACTGATTCATGTTTCATTTTAAGAGAATTTAATTCAAATGTATACATGAACAGTTTCAGTTTAAGTGGAACTTGTGTTTTTATGCAAACGTGTGAATCAATTTAGCTATAACATAAATGTAGTGGAGTTAAAAGTACAATATTTCACTTTGAATCGTAGTGGAGTTTAAATATTAATGTCAGGAAAAGAAAATGCTCAATTTAAGTAGAAGTACCTCAAATTTGCACTTAAATACAATGTAAATCCTGGTGATGATAGGAACAAAATAAATGTATGGACATCAAGGCTTCACAACTAATTCACATGTTATTAAAATTGCAACACGGACTCGTGCAATATTTAAATTGCAGGAACATTTTGTAAACAATTTGAAAATGTGATATTTACTGTGTGTGTGTGTGTGTGTGTGTGTGTGTGTGTGTGTGTGTGTGTGTGTGTGTGTGTGTGTGTGTGTATAGACGGTGATGGTCTGGGTATCAGCATAATAGGGATGGGAGCAGGAGCTGATATGGGTCTGGAGAAACTGGGGATCTTTGTGAAGACGGTGACGGACGGAGGAGCTGCTCAGAGAGACGGCAGGTAACATGAACACCTGAGTCTTTATATATGTCCTAAACCCTGCCATGACTCAGCATTTCATCACCTCCTGTCCCCTGGTCTGGAGGTCAATGGTATTCTGAACGTGTTTTTGTTTGTTATCCTGAAATAAGGTCTGTGGTTAACACAAGCTGAAGAGATTTTTATTCTACGACATAAAATACGTCAGTAAATACAGAACTGGTGGATTTAAAATGGTTGGTTGCTAACAAGTGTCTAAATGAGACGACTAAACGTCATCACGCCCAACATTAGCCACCTTTAGCTTAGCGGTGGTGACGTGAAGTCATGTGACCGTGCTGTAGTTCCTCTATAGCCCAACATTAGCCACCTTTAGCTTAGCGGTGGTGACGTGAAGTCATGTGACCGTGCTGTAGTTCCTCTATAGCCCAACATTAGCCACCTTTAGCTTAGCGGTGGTTACTTGAAATCATGTGACCGTGCTGTAGTTGCTCTATAGCCCAACATTAGCCACCTTTAGCTTAGCGGTGGTGACGTGAAATCATGTGACCGTGCTGTAGTTGCTCTATAGCCCAACATTAGCCACCTTTAGCTTAGCGGTGGTGACGTGAAGTCATGTGACCGTGCTGTAGTTCCTTTATAACCCAACATTAGCCTCCTTTAGCTTAGCGGTGGCGACGTGAAGTCATGTGACCGTGCTGTAGTTCCTTTATAACCCAACATTAGCCACCTTTAGCTTAGCGGTGGTGACGTGAAGTCATGTGACCGTGCTGTAGTTCCTTTATAGCCCAACATTAGCCGCCTTTAGCTTAGCGGTGGTGACGTGAAGTCATGTGACCGTGCTGTAGTTCCTTTATAGCCCAACATTAGCCACCTTTAGCTTAGCGGTGGTGACGTGAAGTCATGTGACCGTGCTGTAGTTCCTTTATAGCCCAACATTAGCCACCTTTAGCTTAGCGGTGGTGACGTGAAGTCATGTGACCGTGCTGTAGTTCCTCTATAGCCCTACATTAGCCACCTTTAGCTTAGCGGTGGTGAATACAACATCCCTGCACAATTATATTCTCACATGTTGGATTGTTGTCTTTGTGTGTGTGTGTGTGTGTGTAGGATCATGGTGAATGATCTCATCGTGGAGGTCGATGGGACCAGTCTGGTTGGCGTCACCCAGTGTCTCGCTGCCTCCGTCCTCCGAAACACCACCGGCACCGTCAAGTAGGGATCCAACACACAAATATTGACATATAATGTATTGTTAAGTTATCCAGCAGCAGCACATGAAGTCAGTTTGGTTTTCTCTGATTCATTATCGTGTATTTTGATCGTTAATTGGACACATGAATCTTAATTGTGTTTGCAGGTTTGTGATTGGCCGGGAGAAGCCAGGCGAGCAGAGTGAGGTCGCTCAGCTGATCCAACAAACTCTGGAGCAGGAGAAGTGGCAGAGAGAGATGATGGAGCAGAGATACAAGCAGTACATGGACGATGACGAGGAGGTACATACACACTCACACAAACACAGACACACACTCACACACACAGGACACACACACACACAGGACACAATAATAATATATAACATTCTATAGGTTTTTGTGAATGTAAATGGTCTGCAAAGGATAAAATACCAGAGTTTAGGAACATAGTGATCTCTAAGCTGGTTGACCAATCACAACAGAGCTGGCCAGCTAACCAATCAGAGCAGACTGGGCTCTGGTTTCAGACAGAGGGTGAAAAGAGGTGCTGCAGCACAGACAGTATGAGAAAAATAAAGAGCTTTTTGAACATTAAAGTGTGTGTGTGTGTGTGTGTGTGTGTGTGTGTGTGTGTAGAGGTGTCTTATTGGCTTTAAATAGGAATTTATCGCTTGAGTTCACATGATCAGTGTGTATTTCTACTATTTGGCAAGATAGTATCACAAGACGTACTGTTACAAGTGTGTGTGTGTGTGTGTGTGTGTGTGTGTGTGTGTGTGTGTGTGTGTGTGTATAGAGGTATCTTATTGGCTTTAAATAGGAATTTCTCGCTTGATTTGGCAAGATGTACTGTTAGAAGTGTGTGTGTGTGTGTGTGTGTGTGTGTGTGTGTGTGTGTGTGTGTGTGTGTGTGTGTGTGTGTGTGTGTGTGGTCTAGCATTACTATACTTGTGGGGACCTAAATCTGTTTACATAGTCATGTGTGGGGACTCGCCTCCCTTATGGGGACAAAATGGAGGTCCCCATGAGGGGGATCATTAATGTTAGGGTGAAGACTTGGTTAGGGTTAGGGTTAGGCATGTGTTGGTTATGGTTAAGGTTAGGATAAGTCTCCAGGAAATGCATGTAAGTCAATGTAATGTCCCCTGAAGTGATGTATACATGGTGTGTGTGTGTGTGTGTGTCCTTGTGTGTGTGTCACATGAAACAAGAAATCATTCATAAGTGTTAAACCAAAAATAATTATGTGTTTTTCACAAACCTGATCATTTGAGTATGTCTACTAAAAACAAGAACAATATGTCATTTATTTCACAAATCTATAATAATTTCCAAAATGTCGGTGTGTTCTTTCAATCTCAGTGCAGCACCTCCACCTTGTGGTCAGAGAGAGTAACTGCAGTTAGTGCTACAACTATTATTATTTAAATTGTTATAAAACCATGTCAATATTTATACAGAATATATTATATTATTCCAGTACTCCAGTCAGACACACATTACACATTTCACAATAATAATATCTAACAAATAATAAAAAACGTAATATCTCTAATATGAATGTTCCCTCTGTGTGTTTCTCTGCAGACCGGAGAGTACGCCACAGACGAGGAGGAGGAGATGAGTCCGGTGTTTCCAAACTCCATCGAGGTGTTCGACCTGGCGGAGAACCAGGAGCTGTCTCCTGTGGAGCTCGACCCCGAGAAACTGGCCCACAAATTCAAAGAGGTAACAGTGGCTTTAACATTATGCATGCTGAATGTCACTCTGTTATGGATGTATTCCACTTTTAACTATGAAACTGTATTAACACCAAGGTAGTTGAATGAAAATATACCAATCATTTTCTGAGATTAAAGACAAAAAATGTAAATGACTTGACTAAGAAAAACAGACTACAATATTTTTCTAAAAGTCTTGGAGATTTTCGACTTCGATCACAGAGAATATATTAAAAAAAGATCTCATAAATTAACGACTTTAATATCAGAAGCTCAGGTTTTCTTTCTTAAAACCTTTTCTTAGAAACCCCCTTTCCTTGTTGTAATTATTTGAATTTGTTTAACTACAACACCCAGAATAAACTGCCATATTTCCCAAGTCTTAACAAGATTTGATGGATTATTTTTTACATTTGTATTAATCTTTGTTTTAACTTTCTCTCTGCAGCTCCAGATCAAACACGCAGTGACCCAGGCGGAGATCCAGCTGCTGAAGAGGAAGGTGAGAACGTCAGGTCTTTTTTTACATGCACAAATGTTGCGATCCTGAAGGCAGCATCCCTGTGTGGTGTCCCTGAAGGCAGCATCTCCCTAATGTATCCCTCCTCTCTCTCCTGCAGCTGGCTCATGCGGAGCAGGATAAGCTTCGATGGCGGATGGAGCGAGCTCAGCTGGAGCAGAACATCCGGGACAGCAAGGAGAGGATGGAGAAGCTGGAGGGTTACTGGATGGAGGCGCAGTCGCTCTGTAAGGTAAATCCAGAGAGAGAACCAGCTGGAGCTCAGAGGCAACAGGAAGGGAAGGCTTTATCATCGTTAGACATCTTAATTGATCAACGGGAAGCTTTAAGTAGGGCTGCACCATTTGGAAGAAATGTGATTATTATTATTAAAAAACTATATTAAAGGATAAGATATTTTAGAATTATTATTATTACATTTATTTTCCTTTTAATTTTCCTATTATTACTCCTAGGGAAATTCACTTTATCTCATTTATTTATTTTTTATAATTTGTATTATTCAATTATTATATGTATTATTTGTTCATTTTCTTTTTTATAATTGTTATCTCTTTCATTTAAATATATATATATATCATATTTCTTTTTTTTTTAATTAATTGTTTTGATAATAATTTTTTTTATATATATTATTATTTTATTCCTTTTTTTATTTAAGACATACAATAAAGCATATTTCTTTGTTTGATTTTCCTTCACTAAAAGTAAGGTTTTTAACTTGAGCAAAGAGCCTGAATGAAAGCAAGTCAATGAAAACAAAATGTTATTTCAATTCACGCTTAATCAATACTGTAGGGAGTTGATGTATTAATCTCACGTGTGTTTTCAGGCGGTGGACGAACACCTGAAGGAAACTCAGTCTCAGTACCAAACTCTGGAGAGGAAATACAGCAAGGCCAAGAGACTGATCAAAGAGTACCAGCTGAAGTAAGGAGAGAGGAGGAAGGAGACGTTAGAGGAGTAGGAGAGGAGGAGGAAATCACACAGAAACTTTAATGTGTTTTTATTTTTCAGAGAGATCGAGTTCCTGAAGAAGGAGACGGCTCAGCGTCGAGCCGAAGAGGAGAGCGAGGCGACGCACAAAGAGGAGGCCGACACCCTGCACGAGAAGGTGAGCAACATCAGAGGAGGTCATGAAGTATTTTAAGTATTCATTATTTTAGATAATTAAAAAACACTCAAAGAACAGATGACAAGAATATAAAGTGCAGGAAGAGGCGGAAAAGTCACCGGGCTTATTTGAATCCTACGCGTAAATAATGTTCACAATTTTATAGAAAACACAAGATCAATATACAAACAATAAAATATATTCGTGGTTTTTATATTGTATAATGATTACGTAATACTAAGATAGACGAGACATTTTTTAATCAAATATTTGTTATTTATTTTTTTTTATATGACCTGGCATTATTAAGTGAATAAAGTTAGCTCCACCTTTACCAGCTGCAGATTTAAAAAGATGAACACATTAATGCTTAGCTCATTTGACTACATGGCTTAGTTGAATACTGGATTCTGATTGGTCAATTGGGACATTGCAGAGGTCAATGTGACAGTAGCACAGACCGCTGTTAAGCACTATAATGACCGTTGCTAAGGAGGATCAATGTTTATTTGTTTTCACAGATTACCGACTTGGAGACCAAAGTGGACGCCCTGAAGACCCCGAACGCCTCGTAGACCTTCATCTGCGAAGAGGGGGAGGAGGAGGAAGAGCGCTGCCTTCATCACCCGGTCTGAACTTCACTGAAATCAAATATCTGCTGCACGGACAGGAAGTGGGGGGGGGGGAGAATAACAGGAATGACATTCAAAAAGGAAAAGAAGCAACTTCTCATCTCCTGTCCGTCAACTACAAATCCCAGAATGCTCCTCTGAATGACCCACAATCCTCCTTGTCTGTCTTCCTGGCTTGGCAATCAAAGCAACACACACTCGACACTCTGTGCTTTATTTATATCGGCTTCTCCTACTGGGTTTCATTTATTTTAAGAAAAGGCGCTTTTACTGAACCGGCTCGTCACAAAGTGCTTTATAGAGGGCAGACGAAAACAGGACAAAAAAATGACTTTTGATTGTCGTTATACTTTTGAACGCTGAACCATTCCTTGTTTTTTTTTGGGGGGGATTGGACTGGATTCTTTCGAGGAGGAAAAATAAAACCACATGGAGTGACGGCCATGTTTTAAAGACACACTCTGGAGTGAAAACATGGTCGTAAAACACACAGAAAAGGAAAAAGCCACCACCTGCTGATCGTCGAGTAATAAGAACTACAAACAAGATGGCCGCCACATTTAAGATTAGTGACAAAAATGGAAAAACGCCCACCCATTTTCCAGCCTGCGGGCGATTGGAGGAAAATACTGTCTGTAAATATTCAATGCGTGTATTTAAAAGTGTTTAAATATCTGATATCGGAGGGTTAGCCTGTGCAATTAGCAGAAAGACTACGAAATAATGATCATCTCTTTTCTACCGACATCAAAGGCTAACAGGGTGTGTGTAGTCTCATGCTGATAGAGCTTCTAACGGCGTGTATCTTTGGGTGTGTACTAACCGCTGTGTGTGTGGGTTCACATGCACATCAGGAAAACGTTTCCAAACAAACCAGAATCAGGAAAACATTTTAGGGATAGATGAACAGTGGTGGAAACGGTTATGTAGGTAAAGTAAGTTTAATCATTTACATTTATTTAATGTATTAATTTCAACATTTTAAATAAAAAATAAAAAATAAAAAAAATAACTAAAGTTATAAAATATATTGGAAAATTACAAAAATGTTAATTGATGCCACATAATTATTCCTTAATCTGTTAAAATACAAAAGTGAAATAAAAAAACAAAATGAACTCTCTAAATCTGTCAAAAAAGTATATACTTATAGAAACTGGCTTATTTAATTTTTACAAAACATCTTATTTTAGGTAGAAGTATAAATTGGCAAAGTACCTTAAATGTGCCCTTAAGTTAATGTACATACTTTCCACCACTGTTATTAGTAGTATGAGGATCTTTTTTTACTTGCATAGGTATTTGAGTCCAAGCTACATTACATCTGAGAATATTTTAAGGATTTGTTCATCAGTGTCAGATGCTCAAACATTTCTTGGAGGTAAAACTGCTCCTCTGCATCTCGTAATGGCATCATCAGTTAGTATAGAGCCAAACAGGTGAAAAATCCAGTCATGCTGCATTTTTTAGGCAGATATTGTACAGTTTTAAAAATCTATTAAACATAATTTAAAAAAAAGTATTTACATCACGGACGCTTAAACCGAGTTACTTTAGTATATTGATTGAGATATGGATTGGATAATTTACAGTGGAAAAAACAATTGCTGAAAAAAACTACTACTTATAGCTTCATAGCTAAATAAGCTAGTTAGCATTTCTGATTTTATTTAAACAAACCAAACGCACTTCCTTAAAGCATAACATACAAAAGTCAATACTCAAAGATAAAGTAAATTGTTCCCATTTTGATATATATATTTTTCCAGTTTCAATCAGTAGTTGTCTTTGCTCATCGGCTAAAGTAGCTTTGTTTTGCTAACGTAGCTCTGTTGTGCTAACGCAGCTCTGTCATGCTAACGTCCTTTTTTATGCTAACGTAGCTCTGTCATGCTAACGTAGCGCTCTCTGTCATGCTAACATCCTTTGTCATGCTAACGCAGCTCTGTCATGCCATTGCCATGCTAACGTCCTTTGTTATGCTAATGTGGCTGTTTTTATGCTAACGTACAGGAGAGTTTTTCCTCTGAGAAATGTAAATGAGCTTCAATATTAATCAGGAAACAGTGTGCATGTAAACTCACTTCACATTATTAACATTATTAGGAGAGGAGTAGAAAATCCCAGTGCCAGTATTATGACTTTAGAAGATTAACCTGAGGTTCAATACAAACGGTCGATCAAGGTCAGATTTTAATTTCACATTTTTCCTGGAAACAATGGAGGTTCAGGTATAGACGCATAACATTAGTTTTTTTTACAACAAAGTTCCTTTGTCAGATTAAATTGTGGGGGGAAAAAACCCAGAAATGTTAAAAAATACTTGCTCTAACGGTCAGATTTTGAAGATTCATTCCACCAGAGATGCGTTATTTTAGCCTCTTAATTTAAAATTGGCTGATGCGTTATCGTCTCAATGCTCCCGTGGAAATATATGTTTTCATGCAGTACAATCTCTGTTTGTAAAATATCCTTATAAATGTAAGTATTCTGATTTGACTATCATCCAGGAGTTGTTTAAAAGGTTCAAATGAGCATGAGGATGGGAAAATGGTGCTGAGTTAATTAGGGTTCACACACAAGTATTGAACAAACAATGTGTATTCAAATGTTGTTGTTCACCATTATTATGAGTTTGTGTCGAGATAATACAGCTTGCTGGCGAGCTCTGATTTGGTTGCATCAATGGAACATTCTGGATAAGGAAACAGTCGGGTGGTGCAGGGAAATCGTATTCAATGTGATTTCGTATTATTTTAGAAAATGATCTCTGTGGAAAATAAACGTTTATGATACTTGCACATCACCACCGCTAAGCTAAAGGAGGCTAATGTTGGGTGTGATGACGTTTAGTCGCCTCATTCAGACACTTGTTAGCAAGCTGTGTTTTTAAATCCACCATTGGGGTATTTCCTAACAAAACGTCAAAGTCTCTTCAACTTGTGTTAACCACAGACCTTATTTTAGGGTAACAACCAAAACACCTTCAGTAAACCATTGACTTCCAGACCAGGGCACAGGAAGTGCTAAAATGCTGACTCATTCCTGCACCACTCAGTTTGATTAGGCTGTGTAAATCATGTCTTTTCTTTTAGCACCATCCTCTGGTCAACATTTTGTCTAATTATGTTTGGTTTACCAGCAAACTCTTCCCATGAGCCTCAGCTACACTTTGTAATTAATGCTAATTAGCACATGTTGTCAACTAACAAGGTAAACATCAGCATGTCACTGTGAGCATGTTAGCATTAGCATCGAACTAAAGCACCGCCTTCATAGAGGCTGTAGACCTTTTCTAATATTAAAACATATTTAGTTTGTCATCTTACAAACACTGAAACACTTTGACAGACATGTCACTTCAACACACTCTGTGGCTTAGTGTTGTGTGTTATGCCTTTAAAATAAGGCATCTGTCCCACTGTGTATTAGATCCAAAGCGGCTAATGTGATCAAAGTATGGGAATTATAACAGGAAAATGAGAATTCGACTGACTCATGTATTTTTTCCTGGATTTATGGTGAAATATGTCATAAAACTATGAACAGGTTGAGTGATTTATGATGTTTGAGTGAGGCAAATCCACAGTATTTCATGATTTGTAAGTATTTGTTTACTACATGCAGTATATTTACATTAAGCTCCTTTATCGGACAGGGTCAAATAAACAGCATTTGTGTAGAGGAATGAAAATCAGCCATAACTTGGTATTTTTATTACAGTTTCATCTCTTTGTCGGACCAAATGTGAGCTGTACAGTTGTTTTATCTCCACATTAAGTCACTTTGGTTGTAGATCTGAACAGGAAGTGACCTCGCTGCCTTGTTATGACTTCTTCTTTAGTTTAACTTTTAAATGCTGCTTCTGCCTTCACAAAGCCTTCTGGTGTTTGCTCGCTGATTATTACCCATCATGTCTCCTCATTAAAAGCCCCGAGAGGCAAGAAATACATCTGGTCGATTCATTTCTCCGTCTGATTCATTGTGTTTCAATATGTGTAGGACTTTAAAACAGGTGGGAAATATTGGTTTTCTTGAATAATTAACTTTTTTTAAGTGTGAATGAGGCGGGGGGGGGGGAAAGTAGGTTTTAAAGATGTCTTAAAATATGAAAAATAGCTATAGTATGTTGAAAGATACAAAAAAAATTGTAGTTTGGTACGTCACCTTTTTCCGGCAGTGGCTCAGTCAGTAGGGGCTTGGACTGTGAGCCGTAGCCGTTCAAGTCCCAGTTCACCTCCTGCCCTGCCGCCCTTGAGCAAGGCACCGGACACCCCTCTCCCCCCACTCCCATTGCTCCCTGGGCGCTGTGCAATAGCTGCCCACTGCTCCTAGTACTAGAGTCGTGGTGCTAGGATGGGTTAAATGCAGAGAACACTGTGTATGCTGTGTGCTCTGCATGTGTGACAAAGAGGGTTTCATCCCTCCCATTCTGATTCTGAAAAGACCGTCTGTTTAAAAATGTGTTTCATACTTTAGTTTTTCAAAATAAAAGTCAAGGTAAATTATGTAAAATAATTCCTGCATGTGAGACGTTTAGGGAACATCTGTAAATTGGAGAATCAATCTACCCACAGTCTATATTCAGTATGTATTGCACAATAGTAGTTACCTCACCGCCCCACACATAATAATGAAAATAAACACAAATAAAACAGACTTTAGTTTCTTAGGTCATATTTATTCATATTAAGTGTTGAAAATAAATACAAAACGTTTTTTGGGAACACATCAGGTAAAGTGACAAAGACCTGCTTCAGTCATCAGAAAAAGTTTGACTCACTCTTCCAGCTTCAGGACTCTTTGAACACCCAGAGGAGTGTGTGTGTGTGTGAACAATCTGTATTCTTTAGGATTCATCACACGAACAAATGACCTCGCACTTCTACCCGGAGCGTAAAAACTGCTTAAAAAATGCTCTATTTTCTACGTTTCTTCAACTTCCAGCTGCTCATTTGTGGCATTAAATATAAAACATAAGCAGGTATTCAAATGATGGCACACAATGATATATGTAACAGATATAATTCACTAAAATAAAACATTTCCCGTGTTAATTCCAGTTAGCAATGAGATTTGACACCAGGTTAGCATCTACGTGCTACGGTTAGCTGCTAGCAGGCTAAGCTAATCATATCAGTGGCACATTCAGACACCACATACATAAACAGCATGCACTCTGATACGCTAGAGCAGGGGTGTCAAACTCAATTTCATTGCGGGCCACATTCGCATTATGGTTGCACTCAAAGGGCCGGTTGTAACTTTAAGACTTTATAAAAAATACATATTTAATAATGTAATATATATAAAATAATGTATTACATTGGATTATTATCGGATAGGGTAATAACTTCATAATTAACTTCGTCTGAAAGCAGAAGTCTAGCAAATAATTGCAAGTCTCTTCAGTGAGAATGTCACAAAATGATTTAAAAAGAAAAGTCAAATTCTGAGAAAAAAAGTCAAATTCTGAGAAAAAAGGCACATTTTGAAGGAAAAAAGTTAAATTCTGGAAAAAAAGTCAAATTTGAGATGCATTGTGCTCCATGTATGGGCAACGAGCTTCTGTAAAGCGGCATGTAACCGTATAATAAACTTATCATATTTTTTTTAAGCTCTTGCGGGGCCACATAAAATGAAGTCGCAGGCCGGATTTGGCCCCCGGGCCTTGAGTTTGACACCCCTGCGCTAGAGTTAATTAGCTGGAACACCTGATTATGTCTGGATTAATTATGAGTGTGAAGGTGTGTGAAGGTGTGTGTGTGTGTGTGTGTGTGTGTGTGTGTGTGTGTGTGTGTGTGTGTGTGTGTGTGTGTGTGTCCTGCAGAAGGCACTGGCACTCTTTCTGATGCTGTTAGTAAAGGAGACTGTACTGCAAAGAGACATTCACTGCTAACAGATATCACACTAACGTCTATGGAAACACATGGAGATGGATATGTGAGTCAGAAAGAGACGAGAGTAAAAAACTGAGGTGTATAGAGAGGCAGTAATCCATTAAGGACACGGATCAGTGTGTGTTCATTGAGTTTCTAAATTAAAAAGGATAGTTAGAGTGTTTTAAAGTGGGGTTGGGTGAGGTATTTATATTATATATATTCCAAATAGCGCGTACAGTTAGGCTGATATTCATTTTTTGGATGGGTTTTTCCTTAAAGTAAGCTAAAATAAGTGTTGCAGAAAATTGCTTTGCTAGTATTCCTGATTCCAAACTGCCGCTGGTTTTTGACAATTACCTGATAATGGATGACTTCTCCTTACATCCCCACTTACAGACCTCCGAACTATCCCTTTTAGCTGCACTCAAAGAAAAGTGTTGGCATTTATTATATTATGATAAAAGCAGGAAGTGTGTGGAGTTCATTCAGTGTTTGACATTCAGCTCTGATCAGATCTGAAAAGGCAAATGGCCTGTATGTCTCTATGTGTGTGTGTCTCTGTGCATCTGTGTGTGTGTGTCTATATGTGTGTGTGTCTCTGTGCATCTGTGTGTGTGTGTGTGTCTCTGTGTGTGTGTTTTTGTTTGGTGTGTGAGTCTGTGCGTGTCTGTCTCTCCGTGTGTGTGTCTCAGTCGTCCACTCCTATGTTTCGGAACAGATAGGACATGGACTCTCCGTTGTGGATCCTCCTGATGGCCTCCGACAGGATCATGCTGATGTCGACCGTTTTGATCTTTGAACACTGGAGCTTCTGGGGCTCGTGGGGGATCGTGTTGGTGACGACCACCTGGGGGGGGGGGGGGGAAATAAAACACAGCGTTAAGTTGTTGTTGAATATCCGTTCCCTCTCAGGAAGGTTTCTAGTGGAGTAAAATGACCCGGAAGTCTCTGAGCTGCAGCCACGATAAGAGCTGATTCTCTAAACCAGCGGTTCCCAACCTGTGGGCCGTGGCCCCCTAGTGGGCCGCAAAGGCCTTGCAAGTAATTTGCAAAACATGATTTATGTGGAAACATTTCATTATTAAGAATTTGTATTTCCTTTCTCTTTCTAGATCCTCCTTAGCAACGGTCATTACAGTCTGTTCTACTGGATTAACAACGTGTCACATGTTCTGAATCGACCAATCAGAACTTTATTTAGACTCCGTATTGTTTATGGTTGAATGTGGGCCGTGAACATTTTTTAGATTCTTAAGTGGGCCCTGATTTGAAAAGGTTGGGAACCGCTGCTCTAGACCAGTGGTTCCCAACCAGGGGTACGGGGACCCCTAGCGGTACATGTGGGGATTGCAGGGGCGCACACAGCAATTAGGCCAGCTCAAGGGGATCGAGAGACAAAAATGGTTGGGAACTACTGATCTAGATGATAGTAAAGGAAATTCAATGCATCCTTTGTTATCTCCTTTAGGAAAGGAAAGGAGATAAGGCTGTTCCACAATTCCTGGCAGATTTTTTTTCCGTTAACTATTTATCCCTCTCACCTCGTCGATGGCCGACTCCTCGATGAGGCGCGGGGCGTCGGAGGACAGGATGCCGTGTGTCGCCATGACGAAGATCTTGTAGGCTCCTCTCTCCTTCAGCGTCTCCGCCGCCGCCACGAAGCTGTCCACGTCATCGATGATGTCATCCTGTGGAAACAAACGCACGTCTCAAACAAGCTAATTTTGGGCGTGATGACTTTTAGTCGTCTCATTTAGACACTTTTGTTTTTGAATCCACCAGTGGGCTTTTTACTGACGTATTTTATGTCGTAGAACAAAGCGTTAATATCGCTCACCACGATGATGGCGATGCGTCCTCCTACGTCTCCCACCACCGTGATGGGGGGTTTCTCTTTAGGGATCAACACTGCAGACACCAACCAAAGTTCATATTAAATCTTCCCTACTCCCTGGAATATGACTCAGTGTGATGACAGGACTTAATGTGTGTGTGTGTGTGTGTGTGTGTGCCTTACGTGGGATGTCCATGCTGGGGTGTATGGCCCCGGTGGTCTTCACGGTGGGGGGGGAGTGGCGTCCGTCCACCTGGTCCGACTCGGCGTCCTGAGCCTCTCCGTGAATCACAGCGAGGCCGAGACGCAGACGCTCTGCAAACGACTGAGCCCTGAACACAGAGAGAGGATTCAAATACTTTAGATACAAGATTTAAAGGATGTATCACATGGCTTCGTTAATCGTGATTGGTTCATTGTGAACATTCAATGTAAATCAAATACTGTACATTGGAATAAACTACTGATGTTCTTAAACGGTCTGATTTGATCACCTTTTGGCAGAAGCTGGAGATTTGGCCACGATCACAGCATTTCTGTAGTCCGGGATCTGGAGGGACAAAGAAAATAATGACAGGGATCACAAATCAGATTTGCAAACAATTTTCAAAAGTTCAGTGCCTTCATTTTATTATCTCCTCCTGGATGTACTTGTACTTAATGTACTTCCTCCTGTGTGTGTGTGTGTGTGTGTGTGTGTGTGTGTGTGTGTGTGTGTGTGTGTGTGTGTGTGTGTGTTCCTTTTAATGTACTTCTACTTAATGTATTTCATTATCTTCCTCCTCACTATCTGTCTCTGTGTGTGCGTGTGTGTGTGTGTGTGTGTGTGTGTGTGTGTGTGTGTGTGTGTGTGTGTGTGTGTGTGTGTGTGT